CTCATTCCCTGCCAGCTGTTCGACTTCTTCCTTTGATTCAGACTCTGACAGGGGCATGACAGCAAATTAAGGCTTACTCAATCCCATACCCTACCTAGCCCATCCAAATTAAAATAGTCCCCAATACTTGCCCCCCTCCCCCAAGAATTTATAAAGCTGCCTGTTATTAGCATTAGCTATCGTCCATATATTAGCAACTAAGGAAAAATATTAGTGGTTCCAAGAACTGATGCAATTTGTTGAAACACAGGCATATTTCTGTATGATGTAACATCCTGAATGTCACTGATAACTCATTAAGGTGCCTTAAGACATCTCCCTCATATTCACAGAATACTGAAAAATTTGTTCATCAACATTTAACGTAGTACAGTTGAGATTTTATTATCTTGTTCACCAGATAGCTCTAAACATCAAGAAACAGGCAGTAGAGGTGTATTAGAAAGATATGACCAGCCATTCAGATTTTAAAGTGTTTAAAGTACTAAATATACCAATTCAAAATATGTGAATCAGTTGCAATTTGAATTGACTCTTATATTGATTGCGGATTCCAATTCATTAATCCAACAGCATTAAATAGCATAACCTACCTGGATACTTTGGGGTAAGTTTATTAATGTTGCTCTACAATGCTGGATATATCCTTGGGATTCTTCTTGAGCTTTTAAGTGATCTGCCCATGCAAATGACTGAGAAGAAGTGACTAGTAGACGAGTTTTAATACTCCAGTCTGCAGGAAATTCAAAACTTGACGAAGAAAGAACATCAGTATTGGAAGTGGCCAGACTAGAGTCCTTAAAAAATGAACAAATGATAAGTAAGCAATGAAATCAATAAACTGCCATCAGTTAGGTGTACAAAGAAGCATATCCTACTTTTGCAAACATTAAGCATTATCATTTTAGTTCTGGATTAGATTATGCATGGGTGATATTGATCTATAAATCTAGATTTAACTGCATAAGAAAAAATTCTGAAGTTTATAAAAAAAGCACACTTCAATGCTATCGTGTGTATGGTGAGTGTCCAGTACTTTTAAAGAAAAATGCACATTGAATTATCAGAGGGGTCCTTTGTACTCTCTGAGCTTGATTAAGTTATCTTTAAAAAGTAAGATATAATTAAAATTGCAGTGTGACAAAGGAAGTTTTGTGTCTGATTATAAGAAAACATGCATGGTTGCAAGAGGCCTGTTTATATGAAGGGTGACTGGGTAGTCTGTATTCAGAGCAGCACATGGGGGATATGCAAGCACCAAGAGTAAACCCCGCACTCTCCAATTTTAAGTGTCTTTGTATTTAGAAATTCTGAAATTAAAATACTTACTTGGATCTGTGTTTCAAAAGTTGCTATTTCAGAAAGTTCTTCCTTCCTTGTGGACCCATCTTTGTCATGACTTTTTAAAAACTAAAAGAATGAATAAAACCATATCGTTTGCAGTTTGTAGCCAAAGTCACGAAAAACAAAAACTTCAAAAAGGAATTTAACAAGGAGTTTTGGAGAGCTGTTAGAAGAGATAAGCAGCAGCATTACAATATCTATAGACACTGACGCTGAAGTGGGAAGCAGATATGGAAAACCAAGGAAATGAGGGATCCTTGGTACTCTCTGAACTTGTTTTTTCTTCTTAAAGACGTTTCATCTTAAATAGGTAGCACATTATCAGTGCTAATAAGGAGTGCTGTTTGCTGTTTATTTATATTCTGGTGACTTGCTTGTCTGGGTAGGAGTGGTCTTAGAGATTCTTTGGTTGGGCTGTTTACTCTTTGGCAGTTTCTTGATTGGGGCATTGCTCATTTGATTAAGTGGGATAAGGCTATATACTCTATATGTAATCTATATGCTGAATATATATTAAAGGAAGATGGATTGGAAGGTGAGGCGTATGGTTTTAAAGTTGGAGGAAAAATATCAGTAACCTGTGCTATGCTGATGACACTGCAGGTAGTCCTTGCCCATACATTTATTTAGTATATTTGTTCAAAGTTACAATAGCACTGAACAAGGGTACTCCTTATAGTTGCAGACATTGCAGCATTCCCACAGTCATGTGAACTTGGTGTACTTGGCCTGTACTTGGTGACCAACTCAAAATGAAAACACTGCAGTGTCCCTTGATTATATAACATTTGTGACCTTCTCTACTAGCTTCCTACAAGCAGTTAAAATGGGAAAGCTGGCAGCAGATCTCAAATGGGAATTACATGGTTGTGGGATGCTGTGATCACACAGGATTTGCTTAATGATGGCAACAGGAACTACCATCATAAGTTGCCACAATTATGAGTGTTCCTGGTTCCAATTATCATCAGTTGGGATTCCTTGTACTATAATAACTTAAGCTCTAATAAAATAGAATAATAAAAGTTAATAAAATAAAAATTAAGGAGAAAAATGAAAAAAAAAACGGAACTAATGAAATATAATGATCAAACTAATGAGAACAGATAGAACACTCAGTCTTAAAACTGATAATTGAAATGTCAGAGATAGTTAGCTTATGTCTGTTAGGATCAACCAACAACAGTAAAGGAACAAGCAGTCAAGAAATATGTTGAAGGCTTAAAAAAGATTTTGGCTTGATTGCAGCCATCTTTTTTTTTCCCCTCAAAAAACCAAAGGAAAAAAACAGAAATCACCATAAGAGCCTAACATTTATTTATTTTATTTTTTATTTTATTTATTTGTCAAACATGTACAAGATAACAAGTATAAGTGTGAACATAAACAAGAACAAGGGGAGTAAATACAGATAAATGGTGACAGTAAGACGGAGACGGTAGGCATGCTGGTGCGCTTATGCATGTCCCCTTTAGATAGATAGATAGATAGATAGATAGATAGATAGATAGATAGATAGATAGATAGATAGATAGAATTTTTTATTGGCCAAGTGTGATTGGACACACAAGGAGTTTGTTTATAAGGACCTCTTAGGAATGGGGTGAGGTCCACGGTAGACAGTTTGAGATTGAAGCTGTGAGGGGTTGAGGCTGTAACAACGGAGTCAGGTAGGGCACTCCAGGCATTGACCACTCTGTTCTGAAGTTGTATTTTCTGCAATCCAGTTTGTATCAGTTGACCCTGAGTTTGTATTGGTTTGCCCATGTATTAGTGTGATTGAGGCTGAAGAAATCATTGACAGGCAAGATGTTATAGCAAACAATTTTGTGAACTATGCTTAGATCGGACCACAGGTGGCGCAGTTCTAGATTGTCCAGGCCCAAAATTTTGGAGGCATAGGGAATTCTTCATAAATAAATCATAACTTCTTCATAAATAGCTGGGTCAAATACAGGGAAGCACTATTCCCTGTAATTTTCATTCTCATAAATGATTATATTGTTATTAATTATGTGGTAGGACGCTCTCATCTTCTTAGCATTTCAAACATGCCCATCAGGCACACAAGACTGAGAGCAGTGCCCACCATGATTTAAGCTTTATCGTAACAGAACAGAGTAACAGAGTTAGAAGGGACCTTGGAGGTCTTCTAGTCCAACCCCCTGCTTAGGCAGGAAACCCTATACCATTTCAGACAAATGGTTGTCCAATCTCTTCTTAAAAACTTCCAGGGTTGGAGCATTTATAACTTCAGGAGGCAAGTAGTTCCATTGTAGTTAATTGTTCTGTCGTTTTCCTTCAAATTTAAAAGTCATTTCAACACCCAAACAGCTTACAAAGAACTTACAAAGTTCTTTTGCTTTTCAACTCCTTAGGCACAACAACACGGTCGATTAATAACGTAATCGGGTTGCAAACAGTGACGGCAGAGACCAATTTACCTGCTTTTCGGATCTGCTGGATACGTCATTCCTCGCCACTAACCACTCTACTTCTGCAAGTTTCCGGGTAGAAGACTGAACCAGACTGGGTTCCGACAGGAGACGAGCCGTGTTTCCCACGCTCGTGAAGGGGTTGCGCCGCCGACTCCCCGGACAGAGCCGAGGGGGAACGGGCAAGTCCTTGGGGGTTGCCGCGGACGAAATCTCTCCGGACAGCGCGACCGTTTCGCTTCTCCGAGACCTCTTCCTCTTCAAGCGCAGTATCTCCGGCGGCTTCTTAAAGCCAGGAGAATAACCGGGAACCACGGAACACATGCCCGCTCGGTCGGGGACAGCAGCTGGAAAGAGCCTGGCGGACCAAGGGAAAATCCGCGCTTAACTTGGAAGCCCCGCCTAGCAGCTGGGCGTCTTCCTTTCTTTTGCCCGCGGAAAAGGCAACCAATCAGAAGCGAGTTCTTTCAGGATCGCCACCCTTTTCCCCACGCACGCCCAGAGCTCAGCCCCCACCCGCCTTGCTATCAAAGCTTAGATAGGCAAGAGACCCGCTCGTAAGCGTAACTGGAGCTTTACGGGTTCCCTTTAGCTTTTCAAAATTTGTTTTTTTATTGTGAGATCCGCTATTAAACACAAAAGACGAAGACTTTAGAATTGTAAATCTACACCCATTTGCTCTCTTCCAATTATTAGTATTAGGATTTCCCTTTTGTCTAGCTATAGCTTTGCTACCCGTGATTCCTTAGTAAAATGTTTCTCAATCTCGGACACTTTTAAAACTCCGTGGACTTGAACCCCTAGATTTGTGAGCCATTCAGAGTTGCATAAGATGGGAGGCAAATAAATCTTTTACATAAATAATTTAATGGAATTTTTGACCAATAAAAAATTAATATGCATTTAATCCAACTAATAAAAATGCACATAGCAAGCCCAGGTCTGTTATAGCATATGCCAAAATAAACATATATTACAGGTTTCTTCCTTATTTGGTGCAATAGTCTTGATTATTCTAGAATTACATATTTTAAATTTGATCAGAATCAAATAACAAAACATCGTAGACTTAAACATTAGACATTCTGAAATTGCCTTTGGGGATAAGTATTGTACTTCTGCATAAACAAATGCAGGTTTATACCCCTAAATTCTAAATAACAAAACTTTAAAAGTAGATATTTGAAAACAGGGAAGACAATGCATCCAATTCTTTAAATCTGAATTGGAGACATCTCTTTATTGTATTGTGAAATGCTTTGCCACAATGACAACTTTACTCAGGTTTATTTCAATGTGCCTTCTTCTTTGTAAATGAAACAAGTTTATGTGACAATTTTGATAAAGATACAGACAAAATGTAGTGAAAGGGAAAATTACAAAGTTACAATATGTTGCTCAGTTTCTCATTCATGATGGAACATTAAAGCAAGCATTCAGCCAAACCAAAAATCTAGACTATGATCTGTTTTTTGAGAAATCTTGGCCGTCATTTAGATTCATAGTAAACTTGTCCTAATGATTTCATGCTTTGTCTAAACTTGGAACAAACATGTAGTTTTCTGTGACTTTATAGGATTCTCCTTTCTTCATCTGAATGAGCATGCAGTCACCCCCTCCCCTCAAAATAAAAAAGCCAAACAAAAGAAAGCAGTACACAATAGCTAAAAGGTAAGTCCTCTGGTTTTTAGACATATGAATTAGATCGAAGGTTATAAGGAACTCAACCTATAGTTATTAAGAACTGTTTCAGATATTGGCTGAGGACAATTGATACATACATACACACACACACACACACCACTTTTTACAGTGCCTTAGAAACTTCATAGTTGGACAACTTGTTTTTTTCTTGCTTGATTCTTCTGAACTAATTCCATAAAAACTTTAGCTTCATATAATGGTACAGGTTTATCCAGATGAGGCCTGAGAACAAAAATGATAAAATGTACATTATTTGCTTTATCCATTACTTCACTCCCTAGGAATATCTAGGCAGTTTATAGATATTAAGACACACACACACCCCGAAAAAAAAGTATCAACAAATAATACATAAAATAAAATTATTAAAATACTACTGATGAGGAAATACACAGTCAGTCTCTAAAATTCTTCTTGAAGAGTCAGGTTTTTACCGGTTTTCAAAATGCCGTAAGAATGGAGGCCATTCTTGCTCTGCAGTTCATGCTGTTAAAAGGAGAGCCTCAAAGAGAATGTTTGAAATCAAATCATATTCAACTGAAAATGTACATATACATTGTACAATTATAGCCTTAAACCTGATTCCTAGTAAACTCTTATAAACTGTTGAGATCTATGAAAATGCACATGGACTGTGAACAAATGCAACATCTAGAAAGGCAATTTTCCAGATAATGCGTGAGTAATCCTAAGTGAATTTACTTATTATATGCAGTTTGTCCTAAGGGGAAAATATACATGGATAATTTTTGACAACTTCCTAATTTCAATAATTAGAAAAAGAAATGGGCCCTGAATAGCTTGCACAACTTGGGACATGCCAAGTAGCCTTGTGCAGCCTGTTTTTTTAAATAGCAATACATTTTCATGGATGGCCTCCCCAAAAGAATGTTTCTGAGCATCTCCAAAATTCATTGCCAACTCCAGCACTTTTACTGCTCCATTAGCCACAAAACATATCAGCGCTCCAAGTACAGTAGAACCTCTGGTCACGAACGCTTCCAACCGCTACCAAATTGGGTACTGACCAAAAAAATTCACAAAATTTTTGAATCTGGTCACAAACATATGCTTGGGTAGCAATTAAACATGACCCCTGACCCAGAAATTTCTGAAGACGAAACATTAGAAGACGACAATATCGCCAAGTTATGGAATGAATTATGGTCGTGACCAGGGGTTTTACTGTATTTCTTTGCGGCTCACAAGGATTTTAAAAGTATCAATGTATCAAACACTTCAAATGTTTTGCAGCCCTGATCTAGAACACTGGTCGCCAAACAGTGGGTCGGGGACCTCTGGTGGTCCGCAACAAAATTTTGGTGGTCCACAGAGAAATGTCACCCCCCAAAGCACCCCTCCAAAGCAATTAATCCAGGCTGCACGGGAACACAAGGCTGTGCCACCCACATGGCACGTGGGAACACAAGGCTTGCGTCGCTTGCATTGTGAACAACACGAGGTAGCGATGGCAGGGAGGAAAGGGGGGAGGGGGGAACTTGCCCCACTTGCCTCACCTGGCCACCGGGATGCTTCTTTCCGCCTATTTCTTCTTCTGCTTTTGGAAAGGAAAGCAGTAAAAGTCTTTCTTTCTCTCCCCCAAACTCTACCAGAAATGAGTCTTTGGGACCCTGCAAGGCATCCTGATCCAAGAGGCTGCGCCGGCGCAAGAAGTCTCACAAAGACTCATTTCTGGCGGAGTTCGGGGGAGAGAAAGAAAGACTTCTGCTTTCCTTGCATGAAGCCAAAAGTCTCTCTCTCTCCCCCCCTGAGAATGGAGCTGGAGATGGTATCCTGCAATCCCAAATAAAGAATGATCGATTGGTAGGAAAATGGGGTGGGGAATTTTCCTGCATTTTGGGGGGGATTTTCCCAGGGTCTCTGGTCTGCGGGATTTCAAATTATGAGTTGGTGGTCCCTGAGGTCCAAAAGGTGGGCGACCCCTGATCTAGAATATTTAGGATCTCTAGAGCTAATCGGGGCTAAAAGTTTTAATTATCATTTTTCTCATCTTTTTAAAGCAGTTAATTGATAAAATACTTAAATGAATATATTTTGAAATACTTAGAATGCTCAAACACCAATTTATCCTTACTTGAAAACTCCGCTTGATAGTTTCTCCATTACATCTTCCAAAATACGTATAGAAGAGAATAGTCAAGTGAAACACTATATAAAATGTTAGAGCTGTGCCAAGATCCAGGTTTGAAGGAGAAATGTGATTCATAATATATTTGGTCATACTAACTGTTCTCTCACAATCACCTTAAATCAAACACGTGTCAGACTATCTTGGGTACAAATTAACCTATGAAAGAACAATTAAAGAGGAACCTTTTTTCACTGAAATACAGGTACTCCTCAACTTATGACTGGTCATTTAATGACAGTTCAAAGTTACAAAGATCCATAAAGCACTTCTGGCCACTTTAAAACATCACACTAGCCACCCATCATATTATTGTGATCTGTGATAGGCAATTTATTTGTGCTTAGAAACAGCTGCTAAGTATCCTGCGATCATGTGGTCACCATTTGCAATCTTCTCTGCCAGCTTCCCCAGAAAGACAGAGAAGATGCAAACTGCTGCCACTAGCCAATGGATTTCTCCTCCCCTCCATGGTCACAGGGGAAGAAAATCCTTGGTTGAACTACAGAAATGAAACTCAGGATACAACGTTATTTCACTAGCTCAATGCAGGTGTTCCCTTCAGGATATGGAGGGGTATACATCCTGAAGATCCAAGCTCCATTCGTGCAACCTGTTGAGAGTTCCCTTCAACACACAGAGGAGAGTTGCCTGCCCTCCTTCAATAGGAAACTCAGTTGTGCCAGGGAGGGACATGGAGAGGAGACAGAAAGCAATTATTTTATTGTTTCTAACCTGCATTTACAGATGAAACTCGAAAAATTAGAATATCATGCAAAAGTTCATTTATTTCAGTAATGCAACTTAAAAGGTGAAACTAATATATGAGATAGACTCATTACATGCAAAGCAAGATAGTTCAAGCTGTGATTTGTCATAATTGAGATGATTATGGTTTACAGATCATGAAAACCCCAAATCCACAATCTCAGAAAATTAGAATATTACATGCAATCAATAAAACAAGGATTGTACATAGACCAATATCGGACCTCTAAAAAGTATAAGCATGCATATGTGCTCAGTACTTGGTTTGGGCCCCCTTTGCAGCAATTACTGCCTCAATGTGGCGTGGCATGGAAGCTATCAGCCTGTGGCACTGCTGAGGTATTATGGAAGACCAGGATACTTCAATAGTGGCCTTCAGCTCTTCTGCATTGTTCGGTCTCATGTCTCTCATCTTTCTCTTGGCAATGCCCCATAGATTCTCTGTGGGGTTCAGGTCAGGCGAATTTGCTGGCCAATCAAGCACAGTAATCCCACGGTCATTGAACCAGGTTTTGGTGCTTTTGGTAGTGTGGGCAGATGCCAAGTCCTGCTGGAAAATGAAGTCAGCATCCCCATAAAGCTCGTCTGTGGAAGGAAGTGTGAAGTGCTCCAAAATCTGCTGGTAGATGGCTGCATTGACCCTGGACTTAATGAAGCACCGTGGACCAACACCAGTAGATGACATGGCTCCCCAAATCAACACAGACTGTGGAAACTTCACACTGGACTTCAAGCATCTTGCAGTGTGTGCCTCTCCATTCTTCCTCCAGACTCTGAGTCCTTGGTTTCCAAATGAGATGCAAAAGTTGCTCTCATCAAAAAAGAGGACTTTGGACCACTGAGCAACAGACCAGGTCTGTTTTTCTTTAGCCCAGATAAGAGGCTTCTGATGTTTGTTGTTTGGGAGCAGCTTGACAAGAGAAATACGACATTTGAAGCCCATGTCCAGGATCCATCTATGTGTGGTGGCTCTTGATGCACTGACTCCAGCCTCAGTCCACTCCTTGTGAAAGTCCCCAACACTTTTGAATGGGCTTTTCCTGACAATACAGGCTGCGGTCATCCCTGCTGCTTGTGCACCTTTTTCTTCCGCATTTTTCCCTTCCACATAACTTTCTATTAATGTGCTTTGACACAGCACTTTGGGAACATCCAACTTCTTTTGCAATTACCTTTTGAGGCTTTCCCTCCTTATGGAGGATGTCAGGGATGGTTTTCTGCACAACTGTCTGGTCAGCAGTCTTTCCCATGATTGTGCTTCCTACTGAACCAGACTGAGAGACCATTTAAAGGCTCAGGAACCCTTTGCAGGTGTTATGGCTTAATTAACTGATTAGAGTGGGACACTTTGAGCCTAGAATATTGAACCTTTTCACAATATTCTAATTTTCTGAGATTGTGGAGCTGGGGTTTTCATGAGCTGTAAGTCATAATCATCACAATTATGACAAATCACAGCTTGAACTATCTTGCTTTGCATGTAATGAGTCTATCTCATATATTAGGTTCACCTTTTAAGTTGCATTACTGAAGTAAATGAACTTTTGCACGATATTCTAATTTTTCGAGTTTCACCTGTATATGCTTTCATTGAACACATATTCCTAAGCTTTAGGAGAACCCACTAGTCCAAAGCTTCCCAAAGCTTTCCAAAACTGCTTAACAGACAGTGCTTTTTATCCAATGTATGTAAAATAGTTTAAGTCAATTTAATTCCTGTTCTGATTGAGTAATGGGTATGTGTGTTGTTATCCGAAGAAAAACTACTCCTTCCCAATTTTGAATAATTTACCCAGGCTTGGGAAGCACTGCATTAGTTTATGCTGTTTCATAATAAATAAGGTCTCTATACACAGTTAAGAAACAGCTATCAAAATAAATCCTTTTCTACTGTAAAGATTTTCAGTGAAAAAAATTATTTAAGCATTTCTATGAAAGAAAATACAATTATAATTAAATTAAATGACATTGTAGTTTTTATATTGTATGCTAAAGGATTTAAAATGTGGTGGGAAAGACAGAAAAATTGGAAAAAATGAAAATATTTATGTATGTGACCAAGTAAAAAAAACTTTGATTTTATACATTATGTGTTTCAACAGGAGCTATGAAGGCAATAAGCACTTTGAAGATGTTAAAAAAAAAATCACGCTGACCATTTTGTTTGGCAATATAAATATTTCACAAATAATTAAATAGGTAAATTATTTAAATTAAAATCATCAGTACAAGTAATACTATTTATGTTACACTATAGGTAGTCCTTGACTTTATAATCATAATCAGGACTGGAATTTTGGTTACTAAGCAACACAATCATTAAGCAAGTCATCATGAGATGGGACTCTATTTTAAATCTCTTTGAAAAAAGGGTAAAGTCTTTTGTTAGTCCATTTTTACACCTTCAAACATCAATCAAACTTAAAGCTGACCTATACTTTGGGTTTGATTGATATTTGGAGGTATAAAATGATTAAACAACAATGTTTATTCTAGTAGTTAAGATATGGTCGTTAAATGAATCACATAATAAATCACAGTGGTTAGAGGCAGTACTGCAGGCTACTTCTGCTGACTGCCGGCTGCCTCAATTCAGCAGATTGAATCTCACCAGGCTCAAGCTTGAGTCAGCCTTCCATCCTTCGGAGGTGGGTAAAATGAGGACCCAAATTGTTGTGGGCAACATGCTGACTCCGTAAACCACTTAGAGAGGGCTGTAAAGCACTGTAAACACGGTATATAAGTGCTATTGCTGTAATCATTAAGCAAATCCAGCTTCCTTAATTTGCTTTTCAGGTTTCAAATTGCTATCAGGATGCTACAACTGCTGTAAGTACAAACAAGTTGTCAAGAGCCCAAATAGTGATTATGGGACCTTGGGGATGGTGCAACTAATAACTTTGAGGTGTAGGTCAATTTTTCCAAGGCTGCCAATACTTTAAACCATTGTTAAATGAATGCTCATAAATCAAGGGCTGCCAGGTTCATGTGTAATTCCGTTTTTTTACTCCCACCCTTAAAGGCCTTTGTGTCTTAGAGGGTGGTGGATACCTAGGGGACCACTTCTCTCTTATTCTTCCTGCCTGGCCAGTAATATTTGGCAAAGACAATGCTTTGGATCCCATCAACAAAGGGATCAGTTGCAAGACACAAGAGATGTTTTTCTGCAGCTGTCTCTGCCAGCGAAACATGGACACTAACCTAACAATTGATACAAATTATGACATATAACTACTATGATATATAAATACAATTAAAAATATGTAATAGAAAGGATATATAGATATTTCCCTTGTTGCGTATTTGACAAATTCCAAATTTCATCATTCAGAAAAGAAACTGAAGCACCTTTCAGGAAAAGATATCGACAATCTGGAGGATCCAACTTTAAAAAAGGGAAAAAATAGTGAAGATATATTACTTAGAATAAAAATAGCAAAACAAAGAACATTAGTTGATGGTTAACAAAGTTTTTTCTAAGAGAAAATATCATTGTCAATGTCTATATTATTATTTATTCCAAAAATATAAGACTAGGATGATATATGGTGCATTCCATATACAGTATAATAGAATTTCAACTTCCATAGGTATTATCTAGAATTTTATGCAAATTAAAGTCTGATGGAGCTGGAAAACATCAGACTGGGAAAGGCTGGTCTGACTATAATTATTTCAAAAATGTCTTCTTACCTGAAGATTTTTTTCAGTAGTAATCCAGTGTCCTCCAGCACTGAGTAACGTAATGATGTCATGCTTGTGGGGTAGCAATTGTTGTGAAGTTGTTTCATTTTCTTTATTATACAGTCTCACTAAAAACAAATTAAATACATTTTCTAAAAATGGAAGATGAGCTAGAACTGAAAAGATGTGCATATCAATAAATTCATATTTTTTCAGGATGCAGTTTTTCTTTGTACTACATGAACCTTGTCTTCTTCTTTTAACTCTACCAGGCTCAAATTATTATATTTCTGACACACATAAAAAGTGTACCTGATCCCAATGACTTGAAAACTGATAGATGAATAAATATTCAAAGCTTGAAATATATATCCATATAAGCATTTCAGTATGCTGTTAGTATATAACCTGCTCTGAGGTGTCACTGGTATAAATGCACTACTGTACCTTTTTAAATACTGTGTCAGGGTTCCAAGCAATGCCCTAATTAAACCATGAGCCTCAAGCCAAGTTTCAAAAGAAATCCAATTATTTATTAGGAGCTTCATGTTGGCACATTCCAAGTGAAGCCAACTCTGACTCCATGTATGGTGCAACTCTGACCCTGTTTCGCCACTCCTCCCAAAGGTATGTTATCAGTCACATTCTCCAATGAAGCAATTTCCTGGGTTGTAGAGATCACTCCCCTCCAGCCACTGTGTGCAAGCCTGGAACCAGCCTTGACAAAGATATGGCTGGAATGTGCTTTTGTTTTGAGTGACATGCTGCCTTGCAGCTGTAAGTTTGTTTTCCCATCCCCCTTGCCTATGGCAACTTGAGAGCAGGCCAGGGATGCTTTGCGAGTTGACATACCGTTTTCCCAAAAAGATTTTGTTTCATGGCTTATAACAAAATATCACAGCCAAAAGGGGCAAAAACCACAGGAGTGAACTAGTTTAATTATCTTGGCAGTATCCTGTGACTATTGCTAGAGTAGTTAACTGCAGAATAGAAAAGGCAAGCTGTGCTTTCAGAAGATTGTGTTCTACTATATCAAAGCTTGCAAAGCCAGGTGCAATGGTGAAGCACAACATAAGTATGTGCTGTGTCCAACCAGAGCCACTAGTGTAACAACTACAGTGCTTACATGCTTGTCCAAATATGCAAAAACATTCTGTTCCTGAATTGGCCTGATCAGCTGCGTTCACCTCCCCTATTTAATCTTTGATCCTTACAAAAGCAACAGATCTTCTTCCTAAACTACCATTTGGATAAAAGCACAACTTTTAGTGACTTTGCTTTCCATTTATTAAATGTCAAATTGTAATATAGTGAATATAATTTTAACCTTAAGATATGTATTGTATTAACAATGTGCTTCTCTGGGTAGAATCATCCTGTAAGTGTGTTCACCCAAACAAGGGATTATCTTTCCTTGCCATAAGAAGTGAGATCACCAGTGTTTCTTACTTATGCCACTGCTTTGTGAAACAGTCCCTCCCTCAAGAGTGGGTAGGGACAGATTTTATCGTCATTCCACAAAACAATAAAAACTGACCTGCCCAGTATGGACTTAAGGTAACCAAGATTGATGGCACTCATATGCGATATAGTAGCTATTATTGCTTTTTTAATTGATGATTTGTCTTTATGGAGATCACATTCTTGTTTATTTTATTGTGTACTTAGTATTCTACATTGCTGCCAGTTAGGGTTTGATTTGTTGCTACAGGAAGCAACAGGAATTATGATTTGTTGCTACAGGAAGCAAATAAACAAAGCATACAGTACGGATATTTCTGTTGCTAAACAAGAAAGTTGTTAATTGAGTTTTGCCCTATTCTATAACCTTTCTTGCCATAGTTGTTAAGTGAATCATTGCAATTGTTAAATTACTAACATGGTTGTTAAGTGACTCTGGCTTCTACTGTGACTGCACCAGGATTATAAAAGTACAAGACAGCTTGATGAATAATTTCTGGACTATTATCTGCAGATTCCCAGTGTCTTTTCCATACCCGGCAACAGTGTACTGCTGTTTTAAATCCCGCCCCCCTCTTTTTCTTCAAGTCTTCCTACATTTGCTGAGAAATGCATTCAAGGAAAGTCTCCAAAAGGAATGAACTGCAGCAAAGCCAACATTAACCAACATTCTGGCATGGAATATTAGAGAAATCGCCAACCATTGTTGCAGCAAGGTTTGGAAAAGACTTGGGAACTGCCCATGTTGTCATATCATAAACCCGTGTCTCAGACAATATAGGTACTGCTCGACTTAATGATCACAAATGAACTCAAAATTTCTGTTGCTAAGCAAGACAGTGGTTAAGTGAGTTTTACCCCATTTTACCAACTTTCTTGCCATAGTTGTTAAGTGAATCACTGCAATTGTTACATTAATAATATGGTTGTTAAGTGAATCTGGCTTCCCCAATTGACTTCACTCATCAGAAGGTTGCAAAAGGTAATCACATGAGCCCAGAACATTGCAACCATCATTAATACGAATCAGTTACCAAGCATCCAAATTTTGATCAGGTGGCCATAGAGATACTGCAATGGTCATAAGTGTGAATAACAGACATAGGTCACTTTTTCAGTGCTATTGTAACTTCAAATGGCCATTCAATAAATCGCTGTATGTCAAGGTCTGCCTATAGTTATATTTACAGTTATGGCTCTAATTGTATTATTTCATTATTCAATCTAGCTAGTATACTTCTATTCTTAGAAATATTATTTTCTCATTTTAATTTGTAGTTAGCACTGGAAGACAGAGAAAAACATGCAATTCATCCCTAAACGTACAAGCAATAATCCAAAATATTGTAACATGGACTCTTAAAGTTTGCAATGCTGTTCAAAAGATACAGAGAAGATGAATATTTTCACTTGGCAACTAATCAAGTTTTCTTGAAGAATATATTTTATAAATGGGGAATCACAAATCATCAGGCCCTTTCCTTTAGCGACTTACCACCTTCATTTGGCAAAGACATTCAAAGAATCTTCAAGAATGGTATTTAAACCCAGGATACTAAAATTGGAAAGAATTCATTTCTCCAGATACTTTGGTCTCACTGGATGCTTTGGAGACCATCAACGTTTTCTAAAGCAAAATTGAAACTTCGTAGACATATTCTGAATTAACTGAAGCTTAATATCGTTTTCAAAGAGAAATCCATGAAGAAAATTGAGCAATACAATTGTTATACAGGACGATATGGTTTTACAATAAAACCATAAATCATTTACATAAATTAATAGAACTTGGAAGTATTTTCTGAAACAGAGTTCTGAAATAATTACAGACCTCCTGCATCAATGATGATATCCACTCCTAGTCCACCTGTCTCCTCTAAACAGCTTTCTGTCAAGTCATATTTTCCATTCGAGACATCTATAATCCGAACTGAATGGGTGGGAAAGTACAATAAATATTTAGGCACATGTTGTTTTAAAAATCAATCCAAATACCAATATATATAAAAGAAAAAAAGTTTCTTTTCTTTAAAAAGGTTTATAGTTAATGTAGGTAGGGAAAATCAGGTAGTTATCAAAAACTTAAGGCTGCTCCTTCTCATCACAATAAATATAAGCAGCTCAGACAAAAGTTTCATATCCTTGCTCTATGTTCTTTGGGGTTTCCTGATTTTTTCTATGCTATTTGGGAAGCATATAAAAGCATTTCAAGGAGAAACCAGCAATAACAGTTACCTTTTATGAAAATTCCTTACATAAAAATAAGCCCCCAACCATGAACAAAACATGAAAAAAGCAAAAAACAAAACACATCACAAAAAGATATGTAAAAATGACTTTGCTTTCAAACCATGTTTTAAAGTTTACACACACACATGGAACCAAATTGATAGATTTTTCCATATTGTCAATAAAGCACTAATTCAAAGATTAAGTGTATACTTTTAGTAGAGGACTGGGAGAGTAACAACTGGCATATAAAATGTGAGATCTTCAGGGATAGCCTACAGAAATAGCTTGTTTTTTTTACTTCCCCACCTCACAGAGCAGTGAGATTAGAGAGGAAGGGATTACAAGAGAGTAAACAGGCATGCAATGGGAATATCCTGGGCTGTTTCCATGGCATTCTCATGGCTATTGCTATCAGCACATTGCTTCTGGTTCTATTCCCAACTGTGTTTCTGCTTACTCTTTTGTTATCCATTCCTCCCCAATCTCTTTGCTCTGTAAAGGGGAAAAAAAACAGGACTGTAAACTGTCTATGATGGCAATTACAAGATATAAGGATGTTGCAAAGTTGATAAATGTAGGCACTGGTTGTAACGTTATTTTTTCAGCACTATTGTAACTTCAAATGGTCACAGAATGAAGCACTCTGTAACCAAAGACTACCTGTACTGCTACATGCCTCTCAAAGCATCAGTGGCATTCTAATACTGCTTTTATATGACAAACAAGAAATACATCTTTTCAGGCCTCAAGGATGAACTTTCTTTTAGGGAAACATATATTTTAAGATATATATTTTATTTTTCAGTTTACAGTATTACAGAAAATATTAAGTGCAATCGTAAGTCAGCCATAAGTAAACTTAGAATTTCATTAAGTCTAAAATTGCTACGCTGAATCTGAATAGCCAAGACAAAAGATAAATATGAAAATTAAATAAAATATGGAAGGAATGAACGCTGCAAATTAGGTACAGTTCTTATTAAATTCTGTGAGCTTTTACAATCCTGGGTTCCTAAAGTTTTTATTAAAATATTGAAAATCTCCTGTCATTGGGTATTAATAATTAGAAACAATTTCTTACACAGTGGAAATTACTTAAAGTTATAATCAAAGTCTACACAATGTAACCTCTCAAGTTTGACATCCTTTCCATTACCCTTTGCCTTGTCAATTCTAGGCAGAGACCAGACCAGAATTTTCCCAAAATTATTGGCAAAAAATAGCTACCTTAACTGTGTTTATCTGAGGAAGATATACTGGATCAGTTCCCATAATACATCACTAGGCAATAAAGCTGGCTTCCTGGTGAATAGGTGAGGCCAATAATCAGCTCATGCCGCGATTGGGAAAGCTCACCATAAATATGTTGCAAACTGTCTACCCAAAATAAGCTAGAAGACAAAACCTTTTACAAATATAAAAACAAACCTTGGTTTTCTTCTTTCTTCAGAATGGAATAACTCACGGCTACATTGATAATTATACTGAATTTAGCTAATCTATTTTTTGCCTTGGAACTATAGCTATGTGTACTAATTGAATAGAATTGCTACATTCCAATTCCTTTCCCGCCCCCAGAAATGAATATTCATTGTTAGCTATAGTAAATCTTATTCAAAGACTGATTTCTAAGTATTAATATTTTTGTTTGATAGTTTAAAAACCTTTATGCTATTTATCATCAAAATGTATAGTTTTCATTATGGGTGATTCTGGCCAGATGCTAAAATGTAGGTAATTTGTGTGCGCAAGTGTAGGATGTATTTGAAAAGTAAATCTTGGATAGATGACATAGAATAATACTCTATTTCAGTTTCCTAGATGTCAACCCTTATGAAGGTTTATAAATTTAAAAAAAAAATCTGAATTAAGTCTTTTCATTCAGTTTAGTATAAAACAATTTTACTTACCTACAGAAGGAACAATCCTCTCAAGACATTGTTTGTCTTCAAGATTATACACAGTAGACATCACCTTGGCTCCTCTGTGTTGTGCTAATTGAATAGCTATTGTGCCAAATGACTGCAAAAAAACAAAGGTTATGTACATTTATTAATACTTCTATATCTATCATGTTTCTCCAAAAAGAAGGCCGAGACTTATTTTCTTTTGACCCCCGAAAAAATGGCTAGGCCTTCTGTTTGGAAGGTTCTAATTATTGACTCACCTCACGGTGGCGGAACCAACAAACCTGCCCAGCAGGAGCCCGCTGCTGGCCTACTTCTTGAGGCCCCTTTTCGCCACTCGCATGCTCTGGCCTCCGTTTCGCCTTCAGATGCCTTGTGGAAAGCCCTCTGCAACCGATAATAGAGCTACAGATCAATCCATATTGGCTGCAGAGGGCTTTCCACAAGGCATCTGAAGGCGAAATGGAGGCCGGGGTGATGCATGCGAGTGGAAGCAAGTGGCCGCAGGAGAAGTGGGCCAGCAGCGGGCTCCTGCTGGGTGGGGCTGTTGGTACTACCACCGTGAGGTGAGTCAATAATCTGAAAGCGAAACAGAGGCCAGGGTGATGATGCATGTGAGTGGTGGCAAGTGGCTGCAGAAGCAGCAGTCACAGAAGAAGGCAAGGCAGGTGTCGGGGTATGAGAAGCCTGGTAAGTAGGGCAGCTCCACCACCCCCATCCCCCCCCCAGTTTATTCTTTACCTATGTGCCTCGCCCCACCCACTGCACCCTGGGTTGGGCGGGGGGTGTTAATTAGGGATAATTTTGTAGGTGGGCTTAATTTGATCGCATGCGCTCAAAAATGTGGTAGGGCTTCTTTCAAGGTGGGCTGTCTTTTGGGAGAACGTGGTAGCTGCATTGGAGCCTATTGGGGAAAAAAACCTTTCAAATCCTACAGTCATGGTGTAAAAGAACTCCTAGTTCTATCTGGAACACCAGTAACCTTGAAATTTGTACTTTTCTTCATTTTTAGCAGCATAAAAGATGCCTTGAGAAAAAGTAATCTGTTTCTACATGATAAAGTAAATCCAATACTGCAACATTGCACAGAATTAACTAGTCTCTGCATGACATGCTAGCAAAGCCTATACATTATCCAGCACCTGGTTCCATTGTTCCAAAAATTCAGTTAAAATCTTTTTTCCTATATCACTCATTGGTTTTAGTCCTGTATTCTGGGACAACACAGAACAAGCCTTCTTCCGTCTTTTTAATGTGTCAGCTCTTCAATATTGAAAAAAGCACTAGAATGATTTCAGTTTTACCTTCTCTAAAGTAAATATACCCTGTTCCTTTAACTATAATAATTTTTCTTAGCCCTGAACATTTTCATTACTTTCCACTGCATCCATTCCAATTTGCCTACATTTTTTTAAAGGTAAGAGACCCTGACTTTTGAGATTTTTAAATTTTTAATTTATTTAAACAACTTTTATGGCTGCCCAATTTACATAGTGATCTTAGGTGACTGACAGCCAATATAAAAAAGATTATGCCTTTTCACCAGGTGCCATACTATGGACCCATACCATTCATACTTCTGTCCATACATGCATGTGGAAGCACAAACACAAAACACACACAGATGCAAAATGAATTTATTGCTTCTCCAAGCTTTTGAAACTTGTGGTTCTGTTAAAGTAGCCACAAAACAGGAACTTTTAAAAAATCAGTATCAGGTGACATTTGCGATTGACTATAATTCAAAAATAAGATGAATTAATGCATCCCATTCTAATGCTGTACTTGATTTTCTTGCATTTCTGTCTATTTCATTTCATTTCATTAATTTCAGCCATGTTTCCTATTTTATTGTTTTATCCTATTCTTATTTGATACACATTTTTCTATATTTTGCTCGGTTGAGATGCAAGTGTAAGAAATATAATGTTGTAGAAATTAGTGGAATTTAGTTTTCTGTGGAAAAAAAGCATATTTCATTGGAATTTACAGAATAACCCTATAATAGCTCTCTCCCTAATGAATAGATATTATTTATTTCTGCTATTCATCTAAATAGCACAAACTAAGGTGCTACATGTGTTAATTTAAGAAGCACAGACTAAGGTGATTATTTGGAAAAAAGAACAAGAATAATTCCAGTTGTGTGAATGGAAGGCTGCTTTAGCAACATTGGATTTAACCCACTGAATGTATGGTTCTAATAAAGTTTTCGGAATATTTAAGTTCAATTGGCACTTTTATACGTACACTTGCACCATCCATTATCAACACGTTTTTTCCATCAGAAACATAGGACAGATAATGTAGAGCTGTATAGGCACGAAGACCGTCATGAATGGCCCCAGCTGATTCCATCCAGGAGATCTGTTCAGGTTTGTGAACTATTTCACAAGGAAGAAAGTTTGGTGATAGACTTTATTGCAGTGTTGAAGCATACAGATGGTCCTTGACTGACAACCATTTGTTTAGTGATCATTCAAAGTTATAACGGCACTGAAAAAAGTGATTTATGACCATTTTTCACACTTATGACCATTGCAGTGTCCCCATGGTCACACGATCAAAATTTGGAGGCTTGGCAACTAGCATTTATTTATGCTGATTGCAGTATCCCAGGATCATGTGATCACCTTTTGTGACTTTCTGACAAGCAAAGTCAATGGGCAACTGAGATCCAGTTAACAATTGTGACAAGAAAAGCTGTAAAATGGGACATAGCAATGGAAATTTTGGTCTCAGTTGTAGTTGCAAGTCAAAGGCTACCTGTATATTTATCTAAACAAAAAAACTGGAATGAAACATTCAATTTGCTATACCTATGAAATCACACAAAAGTATTCAACCTCCTCCCTTTTCCATTTGTTTCTCTATTAACAAATCTGATATATTGATTTTAGCTGATCAACTACCAGATGTTTTACAATAATGTTAGTTTGACAATGATGTCAAGACATGTACATTTGAAAAAAATCAAAAGTAGTTGAGTAAATTGTTTTAGAAAATAACAATTTGTATTACTATTGGATATCTTGTATTGAGTGCTAGGTTAGGCTTCAAATACATATGTTAAGAAACAATATACTTTAACATTGAGAATCTAGAAGTTACATTCAGAATTTAATATGAAATTTGACTGAAGTTGTTCCAAGCCAGTTTCAAAATTATAGAAATACAAAGGAAAACTGAAATACAGATACTATATGAACCTTTGCATGCCATCTGACAATATAAGACTTTGTATTTTCCTGTAAATTTTATATATCTATATGATTCACAGTATGTATAACACAAATTTACAAACATAGCTCAAATTGAAATGTAAACACTTCCCTATTTCAAAGCAAACCCTTGTAATGGGGCACATTTTCCAACTTCACAATAAATTTTACAATTGAAATTTTATGTGTTTTGCTTTGCAATGTGGAAGATTTTCAAATATGTTTTTCCACAATATACAGTCATCAGGGCTGAGTGCACTATATACATTGGTTCATATAATGGTAACCTTAATTCCAGACCCAACTCAATGTTCTCTTTCCACCCATTGTGATTTGGGAGGACGATGACAAAGGGGAGATTTGGCTATTTTCCTTATTAGTTAGTAAATGCTTCCAAAAGAAGCCAAGAACATCTTAGAATAACATATAAAAAATGCAGCTTTCAAATCAAGGATGAAGTGCTTGCCCTCAGGGTTAGTCAGAAGGAAGAGTGAGTGAAGTAATAAGAGAAGTTTACCAGAAACAGATGAGTCAACTTTTGTAGCTTCTGTTTAAAGAGAATAATAACTAATAGTACTATTATTTAGAAAAAGTTAAATGATACAGTTTTGATCTAAAATGATAACATTTTCATGTTAGACAAGATTTATTATTCACAAGTTGAACAATATTTGAGTACTTTAGGGAGTTACATTTCAAAACAGTAATGTATTACTATGTTTTCTATCTACATACCTAAATAATGCTCATGAACCAGGATCTCTTCACACAATCCAGATTCTTCTGAATCCAATGGTAAAATTCCTATGAAAACAGGATTTCCTCCAGCTTATCAACTGAACAACATCCAAGCACAATAATTGACCTGCAAACCTTTGAATTCCATGTAATGCACCTGAATGTGAATAGCTGAAAAGTTTACTGTTATTTGTCCCTGATGTAGACATAAATAATCTGAAACAAAAATCCCCCCTTCCTTTGTTCTTTCTTGAATAATCATGTTCCGTAAAATAACACATTAAACTAAATGTGCAAAATAGATATACAGCTGGACCAATGGGAGGATATTTTGAAGAAAGTGTTGAAATTTAAACTGAATTATAATCCTAAGGATAACTTTTATAAGACTATGTATTGCTGGAATTTGACACTGGATAAATTGTCAAACATGTGCAGTGGAATTTCAAATATTTGTTGGAACTGTAATCAGAGAACACATTTTTCAACTTGGTGGACATATAAGAAAGCTAGACAATACTGGGATCAAATATGTATTTGATTCAAAAGATTTTAAAAGAAAATGTACAATTGAAACAAAAGATTTTTCTTTTTAGGATTACAAACAGATAGAAAGATTTTATGGAATTTTGTTTTTATGTAAAAGGGGGGAGAGAAAGAGGAACAGGGAAGATAGGAGGTGACCAATGAGATAGAAAAAAACATCAATATAGTCATAAAATATTAACCATCCAAAATGATTCAAGTTTTCCAAGAAGAAATTATATTTTTCAATGTCAACAATGTTAAGCAATGGGCTATTTGAAAGTACATAAACAGGAAGGTTCAAAATAACAATTTTTTTAAAAAAATGGTAATTTCTTACAATTTAAATGTTTTAGTTAATTAGATAAACCTACCTACTACCTCATCTTGACGCTTAAAGAAAGACACTTTATTTCCAACTGGAAAAAAAGGAAATAAGGGAACACATAAAAGAACTATGGCACTTAAAACAATGTTACTGTTAATAATAATTTATTATAAAGTCTTATAATACAATATGCAATCCACAACCTGATAACTATAGTCAATTTTAAACATTACTGAGAAGGGCAAGAAAAAAAGTTGCTCTGAAATAGAATTTAATAGAAGACTGAAAAGAGAAGCAAGTCTGGATATTACATTCCCATGAATAAAAACAGAAGTATATGAAGGAAAAGACTATTACATTTACAGACTCATATTGCTTCAAAATAATCAGACATACAGATCAATCAATAATATGCAAGCAATAAACAAAATAAATTCACAATTAATCAGGATAATGTATTCAAGTTGGATGTTTCTGCATCCAACTTCATTTTTCTAAGTGCACATGTGAACTAAGAAAGTCTACTATATGAGCAGTAACTTACTACAGCTTTATGTTATTTGTCTGGGACTGCAAAATCTACCTGAACAGAGGTCTACAGATCTCCACAGACATCTACTAGAATACAATTCATTACTACTGATTTGATTTGTTAGTCAAGAGTCTGGCTGTCCTGCCCCAAGGAATTAAGGAAAAGTCAATTTTTTAAAAAAGTCTTCTGAATCTGTATTATTCTCAAACATTTCAATGTATGCATTTATACAGACAAACTAGTTTGTAAGAATTGGGTGTTTGAGAATGAATTTAGTGAAAAATATCCCAGAAATGTTAAATAATTGGCAGAAATGTTTTAAATTAAATTTCCAATCAAACACCCTCACTCAAGTTCATTAGGTGAACTTATCATGGCAAGCTATCACATGGTTTCTTTAAATTTTGGTCTAATATGTTGTATAAACATGTTACTGTCATTTATAAAACATGGCGTATGTTTGCATGGTTGTGGCAACTACTGTCTCCACTGCATTAATGCAAACTTTTATATAGGACAACTAAACATGCATTTTAAGAGGCTCTTAAAATAAAATGATTCTGCACTTTAACCCTGATAAGCCTTTAACATTCACATTAGCTAAAAGCAAAATACCTCTCAGTTGGCGTACATTTTTTTTAAATATATTAGACATGTGGTGGAGAATCTGTGGTCATTTAAATGTTGCAGAATTACAATTTCTATTAGCCGAGAAGTTGTAATTCAGTTGTAATTCTGGAGTGTTGTAGGTTCTTAGAGTGTAATAGGATCTGTAAGAGGATTACTGAACATAGGGACGGGTAATTTTAATATATGAGTACTTAATGTTTTATAGAAATATTATGCAAATTAGTATACTTACTTTCCAACACAACACCAGCAATTTCCCTTCCAACAGGTAGAACTTTCTTCTCTTTTTTAATTTCTGATAAAAACTAATTACAATAACACAATGTCTATTGTCAAGATTAATACATCTTGCATTGGAAGCAATAAAATACTAATATGGATTCCTGCTACTAACAAAAATGAGACCCTGATTATTTGAAAAAAGAATAAAGAAGTCTATGGTTGCAATAAAATGCATTTTTTACAGAAAGCAAATGTTAAAAATGAAGAAATCCTGCTTAAGTTATGCACTGAACTATAAGTCTAGCATTCTTAAAACTATAAACTTGGTGTCAAAGTTTAGTTTTCTGATTACATGCCAAAAACAATTTAATTTTGTAAATTGTAAACACTTGAAAGTTTGACTAAAAGACTTATATATCACTTCACAGTGCTTTACAGCCCTCTCTAAGTGGTTTAGAGAGTCAGCATATTGCCACCAACAATCCGGGTCCTCCTTTTACCAACCACAGAGGGATGGAAAGCTGAATCAACTGTGAGCCAGTCAGACTCAAACAACAGCCAACTGCTGGCAGTCAGCAGTCAGCAAAATTAGCCTGCAATACAGCATTCTAACCACTGTGCCACCATAAAAGTATGTAATACCTACACATTTTCAATTTTACTGTGTTTAAAAGGAAGCTGCATAAGTTTAGAAGCAAGTACTTTATTTGTAATTATAAAATTTCTATTCTATATTTTAATTATTAAAATCAGTATCAAAGCATACAATATCTGGTTGATTTATATGGAACATATACTTTTCAATGCACAATCTTTTAAGTTGTAGCTCTACTTCTATTTATATACTGCCAATTGAACTAAAGGGACAAGATAAAGGACCCAAAAGAGTGCTTAATTTAAGTAGTCAGGCAGCACTCACATAAACTTGCATTAGTGCCATTGTAGGTGTGATGGTAACCATGTGAAAGTCTGAGGTAACATATATGTGGTAAGTGAATCAATTATCATGTGTGCAATAGACCATTGCAAAGATCTTGCCTATTCACTATTATGACATAGAAGCTAATCATTTGAGCCTTAGGATACAGTATTATTTTCTTCCTTAATGTAACATTTTATATATTTGACAAAAGTAAAAGGGTGCCTGAGGGACCATTTTGTCTCAATTAAATCAACTCATCTCATCCGGTCAGGCAGGAAAAACACATTATGGACTGTTGGTTAAAGAATTCTGACCGGAGGGGTCTAGGAGAGTCTTCGTTGCTATCACTCTTACCTTATGAAACATTTTGCCCCCTGATGTGTCCCACTCCTGTCACCTTCTGTAAGACCATTAAGACCTGGCTCTCTCAACTGGCAAGGGGATCCAAGAATGATATGCAACCGTGGGGACTGGTTGGTGGCTTGAAGGCGCCATCTTTGACTTTTGTTACTTTTTGTAAGGATCTACTGGTTATTATGATTTTTTTTTTTACTTGTAAACCACTCAGAGTCACTTAGAGAGTAAGATGGATAGCATAGCAATTTAATTAAGAAGTAAATAAATTTAAAAACTCAGACCAATTTATCTACTAGGGAACAAAGTGAAGGATTAAAATTAATCATAAGCTTACAAGTAATCTTATGTTTCAAGCTTTGTAACGAGCTGTTTGCTACAAATATGTTTAACTGGTTTATGATTCATATATGAATTTGTAAGATATAGATAAGATGGTCAAGATATTAATTTTTTTACATAAATTTGCATGAAAGTTTATTCACAGAATAAATTCATAATCATTTGACAAATTTATAAATACATATAAATACCTTCTTATCAATCCAGCTAAGAGCACAAGCTTTGACTTGCACTTTCACATGGTGGTCACTCACATTGGGAAGGCTATCCTAAGAAAAATTGAAAGTGTAGGCACAATTTCTAATATATTTTTAGAAAACAAATTCAATACACATAATCCTTAACTTATAACAGTTCATTTAGTGATTGTTCAAGTTACAAAGCATTGGAAAAGGTGACATATGACCCCTTTTCACACTTACAACCCTTGTAGGGTCCCCATGGTCATGTGATCAAAATTCAGATGCTTGGCAACTGCCTCACATTTATGACCTTTGCTTTATCCCAAGGTCATGTGATAATCTTTCATGAAGTTCTGACAAGCAAGGTCAATGGGGGAAGCCAGATTCCCTTAACAATTGTGTTACTAACTTAATGTATGCAATGATTCCCTTAACTGTGGCAAGAAAAGTCATAAAATGGGGCAAACTCACTTAACAAATCTTTCCCTCAGCAACATAAACTTTTGGGCTCAATTGTGGTCGTAAGTCAAGGACTACCTGTAGTTTACCTAAAAAATGAACAACAATCGAGATCATATTTCAAATAAATGCCATTAGCACATTAGGACAATCAAGTTCACCAGTTGAAACTTTCTTTGAAATTTTGACTTTGTGCAACTGAAAACTTACATATATTGTCCTCAACTTATGACTGATTATTTAATGACCATCTGAATTTATGATAGCCTCAGAAAGGCTGCTGTGTGGCCTATAAAGCACTTCCAGCCACTTAAAACGACTCCCTCCTGTGATCAAGTGATTGCAATCTGGGTGCTTGGCAACCAGTTCGCACTTACAACCAATGGTTAAGTACCCTATGATCATGTTATCACCATTTACAAAGCCTTCTGCCAGGTTCCCCAGAAAGTCAATGGGAAGTCAACAGGGAAGATTGCAAGGTGTTGCTGTGGAACTGAGATTTCCTCCCAGCAGGTAGCTCTAGGGGTGTGGGGGGACGGGACTCCTCAAAGGACTGCAGGAATGGACCTCAATTCCCAAAGATCTGAGCTCTGTTTCTGCAGCCCTTCAAATAAGTTTCTTTCCATAAACAGAGAGGAGGGGAACTTTACCGAAGGGCTGTAAAAACAGAGGTCAGATCCTGAAGATCTGTCTGTCCACTTAACAACCTGACAGATCGCTTAACAACTGCAACTGTGAATGCCAGAATTGTAATTGTTGAGTGAAGGAGTCATATGAGTGTCTTGCTTAGCAACATTTCCTTCAGTGACCACGACACTGGTCCCAACTGTAGTTGACTAGCTGTACTGCTGAATAAATATGTTGAACACACAGCATGTATTCCCAGCAGTATTTGGAACAATAATAAAAACAAAAATGCAGAATTACATTACATGCAAACATTTGTAACAAATTCTAGCAGAATATTGTGTTTAAAAAGGCAATGTGGGGGAAGGGAAAATATTAATTGGAGCAAAGAGGTAGCGCAAGCAGGGATAGCTTAATCTATTCCAATCTGTCACTTTATTTCAGTCCATAATCTGTAAAATGCTTTTCTCCAAGTACAGAATATGCAATAGTGAAAGTATTTATAATTTTGGAACAACAAAATAGATAATTGAATGACAGTAATATTATAAAAACAAAGCGAGTTAGAAAAATGAAACTTCTCTCACTTTTATCCCTTCCAGATGCTTTCCCACAAATAATAAACTGTGGCACATATTTCCCAGTCCTGCCCTAAAAAAAGGTGACAAACTGCAAATCTAATGATAAACATATGCTTTCTTACGTTGAACTGTAAAACATTCCAGGCAAAACAATTCTAAAATAAATAATGCAAGTAAAAGCATTTTCATATAATTATTTTCCAACAATGCTTTCCAGAACTGTCTTAGGACACCATTTATAAAGGTGGTATTTTAATAAAGCTGGCTGAAATGCAGTAGATTCAGCATAGTAACACATAATTTATACCTAATATATAAGATACAAAGAGGGGTTGTATCAGTTTATGTTGAAATAGTTTATTTAATGAGTTTTATAAATCACTTTTCTTTCGTTTAGAGTGCTAATGTGTTCAGCAAAGATTTAAATTTATGCCAACGATAAATGCATTGTGAATTTAGTATTACGAAGCAATTCCTGCTAAAATGCAATGCTGACTTCCTTGAATTCATGTGGTTAGTTTCCTCACTATTTCAGTTTTTTTTTTTAAATGGAAACTGACAAATTTTGCTGATACATGCACTTCTTTTCCTGTGTTGTGAAGAACTGCTTGACTTAGAGGTTTCTACTTTAAAAATACAAATTATTACATAATTTTAAGTGCACTGTCTATGTTGGTTCTTAATGGCTAAACCATAGTTTGACTGCTTAAACTGTGCTACATGCTTTCATGTTTCTTCTTACCATAATATAGTTCTATAGTTCCCTCTCCGGAGTTCAAACAATCCAATGTACCATTATATCTATATTAACTATTGTTTAAACAAGGGGTTCCCAATCTTGGCAACTTTAAGACGGGTGGACTTCAACTTCCAGAATTCCCTAGCCCCAGCATGACTGGCTGGGAAATTCTGGCACTTGAAGTCCATGTGTCTTAAAGTTGCCAGAACCGGGAATCCCAGGTTTACACAATTATACTCCACCAGAATATTTGGAAATCTGTTCCAAATTTTGATTTGGTTTGCCTGCTTCCTTTCAGGAAATAAAAGCCTTTTGACTGAAAATAGATTTATTAAAATAAATGGGACAAGTACATACAGATCACAAAATCAATTAACAACATGACGTAATACACATAATAAAAAGGGCTGTGATCATGCTTAAATCTATTTTGTTATTAAGAAAGCAAAATTCTACAACCTATAATTTAGCTATTATTTAGCTATTGCAAGAGTTATTCTTGGATCCTTATCCACCAAATATGCAATCTATACCTTCCTGAATATACAATTCTGTCCAAAGAGCATAAAGAGATATTAGCAGCCAATTTTTAAAAACTCAAACAAAATTACAGTAAAAATGTAAAAAATGTAATGTAAAATATTAGCCTGTGATTTGATAGTTTTATCCTTTTAAGGGCAAAACTTTCTACATAAAGGATTTTTTGAAATTTAGAAAATAAATTAGAAACCAAAGCTGATGGCAAGATATCAAACTTCAATAGCATAAAAGCCTTATTAAATGTATTATTTATAGGTTGGCCAAAGTATGAGAGTTGTCCTCATGTGTGTGAGAGCACACTATATTCAGTTTGTAATTTTGCATTGCAAATTTTTTGCTTGAGAAATAAGTAACATTTTCTTGTCCCAAGCCCATCAGCATCTCAGATTAAAAATCCCATTTTCTGTCATTTGTCATCTATTTGCTGTTTCCATGAAAAAAAAGTCTGTCAGAATAGGATGCGTCAGATCTCGAGCTTGAAAATTAATATTTGTTTGATATTTAATCATAAATAGTTAGACACAATTGGGCCAATTTTATGAGCTCTGCTTCTAATCATAGTTGGTTTGTAGGCTTTCTGGCTTGTAATAGTTTATGCCTGGGTTTAGTTGCGTTTTGTCTGGGACTTGTGGCCAATGTCTCGGTTTCAAAAAGTTTCACTACAACTGGTACACTTGCTACTGAACTCTTCTTAGCATCCCAAGTAACCTAGGCATACGCATGTCATTTCTCCAAATATTACAGTACAAAGCCCAGATTCTTAACAAATAGAACATGTTGCATTTTATTCTCCTCGAGGCTCTAAGTCCATTTTTAACACAAATGCATGACCTTTATTTTCTTATAGATAATCTGTATGTGTTCCTTATAGAAATAAGCGTGTTCCCATATGGCCAACTTGTGTCTGCAATATTATTGCAGTATTATATGCATATAAAACAGTATACTGTATTTATCTGTATCCCAATTTGGGGGAAATAACCTACAACCACACTGTTGTAAAACCTGGAATAATAATAGGTACAAAATACACCCTCTTACTAGTTGGTGCTGAATTTGATAGAGGGCTGCTATGTATATCTCATTTTCAGGATAGTATTGTTGTAAAGTGCATATAGTAGGGTAACTATTGGAGATGCCTTAAGCTTATAACCTATCCTAGAGATACAATCAAAGGGCTGCTTTAAGATCAAACAGGACCAAAAGACCTGATTTAGGAGGCTAGATGTACTGTTAAATTGAACACTGGGAAAGTATCAGTCCCTGATCCAATACAGAACAGATGGGTAAGATAGCGTAACTCACCTTTTCCAGGAAGATGAACTCTCTTTCTTTTTCAGAATTCTGCTGCCAATATAAGCCTTTCATAGTGATCTTTAAAATTTAGAGAAGAAAATAAAATATCTGTTGCTAGAAAACTCAGATGTCAGAAAATTTTCAGGTCAGATATAGTAGCCCTAAACAATTTATATCTACGTATTAGGCACATTTGGGTAAACTTGTAAAGTTTTACCAAAAAATCTTGTGGATCTACACATTACATATAAAGGTAAAAGAGGTGGTATTTCGGTATTACTTCCCATTCAAAAATTAATGCTAAATTGTTATGCGACATTGGTTAGGTTGAATAACATACTCACAACAAGATGTTACCTCCTCATTAGGCTCTAGTTTGTGATGCTATTTATTTTATTTATCAGATTTGTATAGCAGTCCCTCTCTCCAAAAGCAACTGTTATAAAAATGCAGCTGTGATTAGTTCATGATTCAACCTGCTGCACAATACATCCAACATGTTAAAGTTTATGGTTGCCTGTTGTGCAAATTCAAACAATTTGATTCATTCAAAAAACTAGTTACTATGTATCAGTGTTATTATTCCTTTCAAAATGGTAATAGTAAGCAACGTAGACCCAAAGTGCATTTTCTTTACGATGAGAAGTCCGATTAGTAGTATTTTTCTTAGTTAATAATATTTTACTTTAGATATTTGTAAAATCGGCTCAGCACTATAAAAAACAGGCTTTAGGACAGCCCATAACTCAAAAATACGTTTGAATAAATCAGTTACTTTACTCACAGATTAATCTGTTGTGTGAGTGCAGCTTTTATTTCATTGGGACCAATGATGAAATATTTTTGGGTGTTTATATTGGGGGTTACTATACAAAAACCACCATTCAGCATCTGAATGTATACACCACTCTTCGTTTTGATCCTGAATCAGAAGGTACTACTAAACCATGGTTTACCAATCGTAAAACCTGAATTCACACAATACACCAAACCTAAACAAGCACGTCATATTGTAAGCTAAGGGCAAACCCATTTATGTTACAGCTTACTGCAATATGTGAATCCCTATTAGCCAGATATTTCTTTCACCTAATTCTTGAGAAGGAACCCACCCCCCAATTTGGCTTATCTGTGATTCCGAGATGGTTAACGGGTTCAGTTTCAAGAGTCCAAAAACTCCTGAAAGGGCAGCTGAAACGAAGCTTGTAGAACTACGGCACAGGGAGACAATCAGGGAGGCAACGGGCGACAACGATTGCGGTTCAGCTGCACCGCAACACTCACTCCCTGCCGTTCACACGTCTAGCACCCCACACCCACCGCGGAAAAAAAAAGAGTCCGCGACTGCATCACCAAGCCCATTACCTCTTTTGAGGCCCCTCTTTCTATTCTCGCGGGAGCGGAAACGTCGATTGCCAAATCCTACAAATAAGGGTTCCCTGAAAAGGCAACTGTTAAGTGGCCAATCCGGCCGTCACTCGAAGTAGAGGCGGGACCAGAGGGCAGGAATCTTCCATTCAGACCCTATTTTGTGCGTCTCCCGACTCTTTTCGACTTTCTGACTTAAAATGACTACATTTCCCGGTACTCTCGCGAATCATCTGGTTTCAGTTCGCAGCTCCCCTCCAATTGCTGAAAGGGTGGAAAAGTCTGAGCGGACACGTGAAAATCCGAGTTCTTTGGTTTGAATGGTATTCGAGATTATGTGTACTTTTTCCTGATGGAAGAATTTAAAAAAAGTTCTAATGACCTTCCCACGGCTGGGACTTCAGCCCTATGGCCTTTTCCTTATATCGTTTCCACATTCGCTACTGCTCACTTTCGTCCGTTTTGTAACCGTAACGATACGTGCAAACTCAAAAGTCCCTCAGGGCACCGTAGAAATCGGCGCTTAGAGCGATCAATCGGGCGGCCTTTTCCTACTGGTGGAAGGCGGTGTCCGTCATTTAGAAGAGGGGCGGGATCGCTGCATGAACGAAAACTCGGTTGGCTGCCCGCGGATTGGGCTCTCTCCGCGTTGCGCAGTTATAGAGCGGGCGGGTGAGAGAGAAGCCGGGAAGGCAGGTCTCTTTTCCCCCCTCCCCCTCCTTTCTCCCCGAGACTGTGGTGACTCTAAAGAGGCGGCGGCGGCGGCGGCGGTTATAGCAGCGGCGGCGGCAGCAGCAGGAGCAGCAGGAGGAGGAGGAGGAGAAGCGGGCGCGGGAGGGACGGGAATGGTGCGTTTGGCGGAGGCAATGGCCTTTGCTGCCCAGCCGTCTCCCCTCCGTCCTGGCCGAGGTTGTGAGGAGGACACCCGAGACCGATAAATAATGAGGTAACGGCAGGGAATGGAAGGGAGTCGGGCTGTGGGAATGGGCTGAATTGGCGGGGAGAGCTCAGGGGTCAATCGGGGGAGGGGAGCGCAGGCGCTTGGAGGAGAAGGAGGAGGAGGAGGAGGTGGAGGGCATCCAGCCCCTTCTCCCCGAGGCTTTGCCATGGATCTTTCCCACGGCTCCGAGGTTGGGGCGCCGCAGATGCTTTTCCTTCCTCTAGACCCCCTTCGGTATCCCCGGGGTTGGCCGGATCGTTTACCCCCTCCCCGATGGTTCCCAGACTCCCCGCCTGCCTCGTCCCCTTAGCCCCCCTACTCTTTCTTCATCGCCCCAGCCTCCTCTTGCCTTGCGTGATCCTGATCCGTGGACAGTGACCCCTATCGCGCATTGAATGGAGCTCTTTGCTGGTGGCCGTGATTGCTTCCCCCCCCCCCCCCCGCTTTCTTTTTGTTTAAGGACGATGCGGGCGCGGGTCCCGTTGGATGAACCTTTTTTGACTCTTCAGTGCGGAGGGGGCGGAATAGATGCAAGGAGCGGAGCCAAAGGGTGTTTCTCAAAAGACGGGCCCTGTTCTCTGTGCGTGGCTTGGGGCCAGTTCGGACAAGCGAGTGCCCTGCCTTGTCTGTGAAAGGGGTGTCAACGCCTCTCTTGCGTGGCTTTGTGAATCAGCTTGTTTGTACTGTATCAGTTCCGATCAACTCCCTGGAAGATTAATATAGTAAGGCAGACAACTGGATAAACCTCCTCGACTTTAGTGCTGGATAATCCATGAACTGTTGTCCCTGGCAGCCATGGCTCATTGAGAGGAATCTCATTTATGTTAATCTCTGCCATTTTCTGGCAAAACAAATACTAGTAAAAAGTCTACATCTTTGCATCTGCTTGGCCTTGCACTGTCTGGTATTGTCCCCTCGCCCCCCACCCCACCCCCAGCCTGTGTTCAAGAAAGTTACATCCCCCCCCCACACACACACTAGTGAAAAGCTTCGGATGCATTTTGTGGCCAGATTTGATTTAGGTGACTGAGTATTAAAAATGAAAAAAAACAACAACAGATAACCAGTTGAATGCTAATATCTAATGAACGAAAGGCACTGCAGTGTATCTTGTGCTCAATATAGTTAAACGGAAGATGAAATATCAGCATTTATGAAGGGGTAAGTAACTATGGTATGATTTAGCATAGGGATGCAGAACATCTTGTTGCCTCTAGTTTAAGAATTATCTGTTTCTTTAGGAATCTGACTTTCCTGTTTTCTTGGAACAGACAGAAAACATGACATTAGTGCATTAGGAATTAAGTCAGTTTCCTTCATGTGTTATTGTTTTTCATTTTTTCAAAATGGTCCTTGGGAAGTTATCTTTTATAAAAATCTTATGTCTTATACTGTTAATTGAGTGGAAACTAGATAGTATAGCACACAGAAATTAGATTGTAATGACAAGGCAAGCAAGAAGTCCTCCATGTGCTCCAAAAATAAAGTTTGAGGGGCAGGATCTGGCAACTTTCAAAAGTACAAAAAGTTACAAACAGGCAATATAAAAAAACCCCATTAAACTGCATATAAAGTGACAACACAGTACAATTAACCAATAGGAAAGCTTAAATGTATTTCAGCTAAAGTTTCAACCAATTTGCCAGAAGGTGAAAACAAGTAATTAAATGCTGTATAATATATTAAAATAATAAAACTGGATTAAATTTGAGCAAAAATTGTAAAAAAATAAAACTTCCAGCAAATACAGAGTCACTGATGATTTTAAAATGAAAATGGAAACAATTCTTGAATAGGGAATTCTAGATGATGCACTTGAAGGCTAAAATACTGTTACATCTAGCAATTGTCTTACAATTGCTAAGATCTTTTTAAATAGTTTTAAACTTATTGCAGAACAGAATCCTTTCTCAATCTGAATCCCAAAGTATGTATTGAACACACTTTGTTCGCCTGAATCAACATTTTTATCCTTGCTGGCTGAAATCTATGGTGCTTATAGTCTGAAATATTTATAGTGCCCCAAATTAGGGCATTCTGATTTTGCCCCCTTCTGTAATAGTCTGTTTAGGATTTTAAACATTGTACCCTGCATTTTAAATAGGCCTTTAGATTGAATCCATGCTGCCTAGCTGGTAAAATTAGCAAAAGCTATTCCATGCATTGAGTTTCAACTCTTTTATTGAATATATATCTTGCCTTTCCAATCACAGCTACTCTCTGTAATTGTTAATAGAGTATGAATACAAAATCCAATAAATTACGAAGCAGCCAATAAGATAAATTTAAAACAACCTTGAATACTGTAGGAAGCTTTTCATAAGGCAGAATCTGAGAATTCAGGCAGAATGATGTTAAATCTGGCTTTTCAAATAATATGGAGTTTATATATAAAAACTTACAAAACTTGTATATAGTTGGTATTTCCAATAGGGTCAAATTATGTAAAGTTTTATGAATATCTTCCTGAATTGTGCCTGGAAATAGAAACATAGAAAATTAACAGCAGAAAAAGACCTAGTGGTCCATTGCCTTTTTAGGTTTTTTTGTGTTTTTGTTTTCAATTTATGCATTTATTTTTAAATTATTATTTTTTATTTTTGTCAGATTGCCTTGCATTGATAATGCTGTTGTGATGTATGAGTAACTTGCTAACTAAAACTAGCCCTGATCAGTAATTTGAACTGTCAAAAGCAGCTCCTTACAGTTCATGTTAAAATGTGAGAGTTTGGATGAGGGTTTCTTTTTTTAAAGAAATAAATCAGGCCCTGTTTACTTACTGGTTTAGGACTGATTTCTAATAATCTTTTCGTTTTTCTGCTTTATATGAATTGTAAATTATGGATTTTAAGCATTATTAAAATATTGTAAGATTGTTTTTAAAATCTTTGTAAACATACTGGGCTTCTACAAGAGAATAGTATATAAAATAGAAAAGTAGATACAGATATAGGAAAATAAAAGTTTTGGGCAGTCGTATGGTTTTTAGTTGTGTTTTTAGCATATTTATTGGATATATTGTAAGCCTCTCATAGTCTTCTTAGAAATGAGTGGGCTTAACAAATCTAGTAAATAAAAATAAAATGTACTCTTGTCAAGCTAAACTTGAATTGTGAACCCTACCATACAAATTTGTTGAGAGCATATCGAACTGTTTTTAGATTTCTTTGTTTATTTAGTTTTTCAAGTTTTTCAGCTCTGGTGGTCCTTTCCAAATACTACTAGGCTTCATTCAGCTTAGTTTGAAAGTCCTGATATAATCAATCATTACAGCCAACTGAAATGTTATCATGTATATTTTTATTTTAGTTAGATCTGTGCTTGTGGAAACAGGAAAGAAAACACAAGTAAGAGATATCTGCTCCTTTTCTGGGTCAAATTTGCCTTTGCCATGTTATGCAGAAACTCCAAAATGCAAAGGATAATTCCAGGGGTGGGATTCTGCCAGTTTGGGCCAGTTCGGGCAAACCCCTAGCTCCAACGATCAGCTGGGAGTGAACCGGTTCACTCTGACCATGTGGGCCGACCCGCCCACCCCTGCCTGTACTGACCTATATCGTCCCAGTTGATCAGCATGGAAGAGCGGATTGCCGCTCCTCAGCTGTGTTATTCCCCTTCAGTAGCATAGCAGGTAAGGATTTTTGCATTGTTGAACATGTGTGCACAGTGCATGCAGCACACGCAGCAGCACAAAGGGTTGTTATACCGGTGGCATCCCAGCCCTGTATACTTCCTTTTGGGCCTTGGGTCTCTGTTGCCTGCAAAAGTCAAAGCTTGTCTCCTTCCGGTTTTGCAGTTGTAGAATAACTGATAATTAGGACTGAGTACCATGTTTATCCTAAACACACTAATTCTCCTGTCACTCGCATTTTTAAAAATCATAAAAGTTAGCAAAAATTTGGTGTAGTGTTCAGCTTCTTTATTCTATGAACCCTGAATTGACAGTTTTAGCAGAAAAGCTTCCCTTTTACCCATGATACACATTTGTGAAATATGCTCATTTACTTGTTGGAAGCAATATTCTAAAAAAGGAGTAGACCAGGAGAAAATCTACAAATGTGTAATAATTAAATCTATCAATAATACTCAACTAAGACCATTTGGTTGGTGACTGTTCAAAGTTATGATTACGTTGAAAAAAGTAACTTTTGAACAGTACTCTCATTTATAACCATTGCAGTATCTCCATGGCCATGTGATCACAATCTGGGTGCTTAGCAAGGGCATATATTTATGATGGTTGTAGTATCCCAGAGTTGCATGATTGCCATTTGCAACCACTTACAACAAGAAAAATCAGTGAGGGAAGTTGGATTCACTTAAGGAGCTTGCAGAAAAGGTAAAATTGGGCACAGTTACTTGATTAAATGATTGTACTGCTTCATGACAGAAGTTCTTTTCCCATTGTGTTCATAAGTAGAGGACTACCTGTAGTTATTAAATAAAATTCTCGGGAATGAAGAATGAACTAATTAACATCAATGTCGTGAGAAGGTTGACTATCCTAATGGCTCTAAATGTGATGCTGGTTGGATCATAGGCTCTAATAGTCATATTTGCCAGAGGAATTTAAACAGGGCTTTAAAGTTAAGAGCAATCTGCAACAAGAGAGAGAACAAGTGAAGCATGAGGAAATTCAGTTCAGCTAGGAGATGACAATATACAATAAATAATGCCTGGAAAAGGGTAGTGAGAAACCACTTGGATATTGTGGCCAATAAACTGTACAGTATGTACAAGGCTGTAACATTTTGGTCAATTAGATGCCAGATGAATAAAACCTCCAAAGTGAAAAGCAGCTCTGTAGTTACTGATGAAAAACCACAACAGTACAGCTAGTCCTCAAGACCACAATTAAGCCCAAAATTTCTGTTGCTCTGTGAGACATTCATTTGTTAAGTGAATTTTGTCCCATTTTACAACCTGTCTCGCCACATTTGTTAAGTGACTCACTGAAGGTCTTAATTTGGCAACATGGTTGTTACGTGAATGTGGCTTCTCCATTG